CTTGAAGGGGTTGTTGGCGCTGAACTCCCGCCATTTGGCCCCCAGGATGGTCATCATCTTTGAAATGGGGATTTTGGGGTTCTTCTTGGCGATCAGGGGCCTGGCGAGGAGGGAGGGAGGGAGGTGGGTTGGGGACCCACGCCTCCAGGGCACCCAAGGACCCCGGTGTCCAGGGGGAACAAGGGACCTCAGGTGTCCAGGGGGGAACAGGGGACCTCAGGGACCACTGATGCTCACCACAGCCCTCTTTCCCCCCGGGGTGCCCCCCCACGCCCCCAGGATGTCCCCATGGTCCCCCAGGAGCCCTGTGTCGCCACAGCCCCCCCCATCAACACCCCGAGGGTACCCCCCAGCACCCTCAGCTGCCCTAAAAGCATCCCCACAAACACCCAGAGAGAACCCTGAGGACCTTGAGGTGCCACCCAGCACCCCAAGGTGGCCCTGTAGCCCCCCAAGACGCTGAGGAGTCTCCCAGCACCCAGAGGGACAGCCTCCCAGGACGCTGGGGTGGCCCCCAGCACCCCAGGGTGCCCCTACACCCTCCCCAGGTGTCCCCCAGCACCCTGAAGTGTCCCCCAGCACCCAGAGGGACCCTCCAGGATACCGAGGTGCCCCTCAGGACCCTGAAGTGTCCCCCACCCCCCCGAGATGCCCTAAAAAGACCCTCACCAGCATCCTGAAGTGTCCCCCAGCACCCAGAGGGACCCCCCCAGGACCCCAAGGTGCCCCCCAGGACCTCAGGGTGTCCCCCCCCCAGCCCCACCTCATGAATTGGCTGAAGGCCTTGTAGTTGGTGAGGGTGTGATAGTCCTCCTCCGTGAAGACATGGTCCACGTCCTCCAGCCCCCAGGCCCCCAGCAGCTGCGCCGAGGATTTCTGCTCCACCGCCTGTGCCAGGGAGGGGGGGACACAGGAGGGGACGCGGTGGGGGGACACAGCCAGGCCACAGAAGGGACACGACAGAGACCGACACCAGGATGGGGAGAGGGGGATGAGAAACACCCAGGAATAGGGACAGAGAGGACGAGGAGACGTGTTACCTGCCAGGACCCCCACAGGCCCCAACACCAGTGACAGGACACCTATGAGGACACCCGTGGGCACCCACACGAGTGATGGGACCCCCCCCAGGCACCCACACGGGTGTCAGGACCCTCATGGGCACCCACAAGGCAATAGGACCCCCAACAGGTCCCCACACAGTGACAGGATCCCCATGAGTGTGCCGAGACCCCCATGGGCACCCACACAGGTGACAGGGCACCCCACGGGTCCCCACATGGATGACAGGACCCCCATGGGTCCTGAGATGGGCACCGGACCCCCATGGGCACCCACATGAGTGACAGGACCCCCACAACAACCCGCACGGGTGACGGGACCACACACAGGCACCCACAGGGGGAGTCAGGACCCTCATGGGCACCCACAAGGCAATGGGACCCCCACAGGATCCCACACAGGAATGGGACCCCCATGAGGACCCCCACAGGTGTCAAGACCCCCATGGGCACCCACAGAGGTGACAGGACACCCACAGGTCCCCACACAGATGACAAGACCCCCATGGACCCTGACATGGGCATGGGACCCCCATGAGCACCCACATGAGTGACGGGACCCCCCTCAGGCACCCACACGGGTGTCAGGACCCTCACAGGCACCCACAAGGCAACGGGACCCCCACAGGTCCCCACACAAAGATGGGACCCTCATGAGGAACCCCACAGGTGACTGGACCCCCATGGGTCCCCATGTGGGGATGGGACCCCCATAGGCACCCACATGAGCCATGGGACCCCCACAGGCCTGCACACAGTGACAAGACCCCCATAAGAGCCCACACGGGTGTCAGGACCCCCACAAGGACCCCCACAGCGATGGGACCCCCATAGGGCAGCACTGGGGGACCCCCTGCACCCCCAAATGCCCCCCC